AACTCAGGAAGCTCCTGACTGTATATATAGATCTTTATCTTACTTCTGCTATACAAAATATCATGATGGCTTGAATAAATATGAAAGTATTAGGATGTGTTTGCTATGTGACAGTCATTATGAAGTCTTGTAGCTGCAGGTATGTATTGTACTTTCATCTCATCCTTCCAAGGAGCTCAGGAAAACATAAATAGTACTCTCCTCACCCCCGCGTGGTAACACCATGTGATAGATCAGGCTGAGTGTGATTGACTGTCCCTAGGAAATCTGGTGAACTTCATGGCTGAATTGACAACTGAGCCGGAGTCTTCCTAGTCCAGCATTCTAAACACTGAACTGCACTGGTATCACAGATGCTAAACAGCTGCTTTCATCTGAGTGGAATTAATTTTATGTGATACTTACTTCCAACATTCATTGTGCATGTATTGCAAAATGAAACTACTATGTTCACAGTATGAGTGTAGCTGCTTTAGATGGGATGACAAGCTGCATTAGATAAAATAGCACACTTCAAACAAGAGCAGCAGGACTTTAGAAGGGCTATTATGATGCGTCCTTAGCAGTTATACATAGCTTCTATTTAGAATTATCGTTTTAGAAACAGCCCTAATTTTAAGGTAAACCTCTTGTTAATCTTTCCTCCAGATAGTGTTGCTAGTGAAAGAGAATCCTCTCCTGACAGACGTTGAAGCACTGCAAAAATGCTACTATGTATTGGACCTCATTTGTGAGAAGTGCATGAAGCAGAGAGATATGAACGAAGTACTGGCAATGAAAATGCACTACATCAGCTGTATTTTCCAGAAATGCATCCTTTCCCTTAAGGAACGTGAAGATAAACTGGATGGATTAATCAAAAGGTACAACATTATCTGAATTATATATAATGTGGCATTGAACCCGTGTAAAGGAAAGGCAGATCGATCAGAGGTAAAGAGACAAAAGTGGCAGTTCCCTCTGGAGACCATCGATCGAGGGTCCCCCATGTAGCCCCTGGAGGCACCATGGTGCCCGCTGACACCTTTCCTGGCACCCACCAAGTGGTCACTCTGTTTTATAGTTAATAATACATAGGGTCCTTATATATTACATATGCTGATAGTGGTTTTTATGTAAAGTACTTTATCTGTGCAAATAGTAGAGCAATCTACTGGAAGCACAGCGGGGCTTGCTTTTGACTAAACGCTTTTGGTTAGCTACAGTGCTTTATGTGCCTAACTGGAGCGTATTCTGAAGTCATCACATCTTTCCAATTTTAATGTATTTTTGTAATTCAGTTGGGAGGTGTTTTTTTTTTAATTTTTTATTAAAAGATAAGTCAAGTATACATAAATAAACCCATTATAACTCAAGATTGCTCTATACACATTCATACAAACTGTAAGTGCAGATACATATATCACAATGCCATCTATTATCTTGTCAGCAGGATCTTCCTATGACTATATCCTTGACACTTTCTTGTGATTTTCCAAGTATTCTAAAATTGCTATAATAACGTATAATAAATCCATATATATATTAGAAAGTCCTCAAAAGTATTTTATGAGAGTGCTCAGACCATGAAGAATTCTCATAGATGTAGCCATTCTGCATAGCCAGTATGTGCTGGTAATAAGGAGTTGATGATAACATCAAATTTTGATCACTTCTCAAAAATAATTTATGGTCCTATCAAAATCTGGCCAGGACCTCTCTCTCTTACTGCGAAGAGCTCTTACCAGCTCTTCAGCACTTTGTATCATTGCTGCAAGTAATAGTGCAGGTAAAAAAAAATGGCTGGTGTGAATGAAATGGTTCCTGTACAGGGGATAGCTAGGAGAAGCAGCCTTTTTTTCCCTTTTCCTTTTGCATAAGTGTGTCAAATGCCTAAGGTAGATACTGCCAGTGAGGGTTTCTTAACTATAGGTGTACTTATTTTGTGTATATGCAACAATTGTACTGAAGAGCTATTATCAGAGTTATGCATAACCTCTCCCTGACATTTTGTGGTTAGCACTGCTACCCACAGCAGCTGTTTTGTGGTCGTGCCTCACCACATATCAAAATTCCAAAACTGCTCACAGGCACAGAAAGGCTGAGGATCCCTGGTGTAGTCAGTCTAAACTTCCAGATTTACTCAAATAATCATGAGGGCTGTAATTGGGGCCAAAAGAATTCCATTATGGGAGAGGGCTCTACTCATGATCTTCCACCACGTATTGACTCTTCCTTCCAGTTCTTTTGGCTACAATTACAGCCCTCACTTCCTCCTCTTCCCAGGTTTTTTCCCTTTTCTTAGCAGGATCAGGTAGCCATTGTCAACTTATTGTGGCCCCCTCTGCCGATTGCCCTTTGCAATTCTGCTTGCCTGCCTTTCTGTTTCCTAGGTGAAGTGGGGGCAAATGATGCAGTGGGGTTAGGCAGAGTTGTGTCTACTTTTAACTGGGGAGAGTAGGCAGCACTGTGTCTCTTAAGCCCAAATATTTTCCTAAAGTGAAAAGTTGCTCATCTTCGTCGTGGTCTCTGTGCAGTCCCACACATGGGTTGGGCGCCTACGCATGACCTCGATTGGAGAATATTCCAGAGCTTGCCTCAGGAGTCTTTTTTGCAGGCTCTCTTCCCGCCCTGGGGAGCCGGCGTGGACTGTGCATGCCTGGGGGGGGGGGGGGGGGAGGCGCCTCCCACTCAGTTCTTCTTCGACCGCCTTCGCGTTCACACCTTGCAGTGATCGCTCTTCAAATCACCTCAGCTGAGGTTTTTTCCCTTCTTTCTTCATTAACTTCTTCTTGTCTTTGCTCCTTTCCTTTGTTTTTCTTCTAAAGTAAACCAGAGAGAGAGAGAGAGAGAGAGAGAGAGGGGTTTGCTTTACTATTTTTCTTCACTTTCGTTCTTTCACTCCCCCCCCCCTTCCCCTCCCCTTGGTCGGGAAGGTGTTTGCATGGGCTGTACCCTATTTTTTAAGTTGTGTCACCGTTGTCCTGCTAAACTCCCATCTAATGACAGCCACGACCTTTGTTTAATTTGTTTGGGGGAGTTTCATCGGGTTGACTCGTGCCCTCATTGTGCCACGTTTCACTAGACAGGCCCATAGGAATAGGGCGGCCCGCCTTCGCACAGTTCTTTTGGAAGCTGCATTGCGCCCTACAATGTCTTCAACGGCGTCTCGTGCTTCTTCTGCCCCTCAGAAGCCGCCTTCTCTCTCCGAGAACACTAAATTTCTTAACAGAAACCTAAAAAGCGGGATGATAAACCCTCTTCGATACTGATATCAAAGTCGTCGAAATCGACTTCCGCTCCAAAATATGATCCCATGATAATCTCCAGTCTCTTGACATCGACTCCTAAGGTGGCCTCTACGGCAACCTCTGCTCAGAAGTCTAAAAACATCAGCCTTCAACTTCACCGCCGGCTTTATCCTCTCCGGGTTGCATTCCGCTTGGTCAAACCTCTAAGTCACCGCTGCAGAAGTTGTCTTCTCGCCATGGTTCTCCGAGGGCTGTTGCCCGTCGCTCTACATCTCGTGACTCTCAGCTGCCTATCCACGTTTTGGGTGACAGGGAGCACTTTATGAGAAGTCAATCCCGATCTCCTCGATCACATTATGATCGCAGGGCATATGACTACCACAGATTGCTTTCCCGATCACAGTCTTGGTCTGATTACAGATCCTGGTCCCCGGATATCAGGCATCGTAGATCATATTGCCCGTGCTCCTAATCCAGGTCCTCCACTCCTCACCAGGACTGCTATATGCCGTCGCGGCACACTGACCTCCATCGTCACCACCCCATCTTGTCTCGCACTCGACGCTCACGCTCTGTCACCTCGATCCATTCCCTGGAGCCTGACAAGCCTCCGGATGCGTCGATGTCAGTGGATACCCTGAAGCGTTCTTTATCAGAACCTCCGTACCATCTGCCCACTGATACCCAGACAACTCCGGATGTGTCTCATCATATCCGATCACCATCTCCAGACTCGGTGTCTGACCGCTCCGTTTCAGGTGATCTCAACCCTGATGTGATTCTCATTGAGGACGACGGTTGCCGTTCTGGTTCCCTTTCACCAACTGAAGGGCCCAAGGCTTATTTGGAGCTTGTCACTAGGATGGCCACAGCACTCCAAGTGCAGGGTTCTACCGAGGTCGTCCATAAGCTGGTCCAGGCAGACTTGCCGCTGTCGACAATTCTACCTTTGCTGCCAGTACACCTTTCCGTGCTCAAAGAGCCATGGGACCGTCCCACTTCCGTACCTCTGATATCAAAGAGATATGACGCCATTTATAAAATCCAAGAGTCCTCAGGGAAATTCCAATCATCCTTCACTGAATTCCATGATAATTAATTCTTCCTTGAAGTTTAAGCAGCCGAGACAATCCATTCCTCCTGATTGTGAGGACCGTAAGATTGATTCCATTGCAAAGAAAATCTACTCCGTGGCTGCTATGAACATTAGGATTGATACTTACCTGTCCTACCTTTCCGCTTACACTTTCAATGTGGCTACAGCTGTTCGTCCAGTTTTTGATTTCGTCCCAGATGAGTATAGGCCCACTCTATCTGCTGCTCTTTCGGAGATTTGTTCGATTTCGAAACAACAAATCAACTCAGTATGACATGTTGTTACTTGTTCCTCCAAGGTCCTTACATCTTCCATTGCTCTTGCACCATTGCACCATGCCTGGCTTAGAAATACATCTCCAAAAATAGAACCACATGGAGTTCAATAGTTTCACCTATTTCATTGCTCAAGTAATGGAGAAGAACATCTCTCAAACAGAATAAAGCTTTCAGTAGGTGAAACTATTGAACTCCATGTGAATTGGGCAGCTTTTCCATTGAAGTGCAATTTTTCATACATCATCAACTTATAGACTCTTGGTTAGAAGAAGACGTTTGTCAAAACAGCATCGCATTCCAGAGACCACCGTCCCGTCATTATCATCTTCTATCTTTATGTATCTGAACTTACACATTTGAATGTATTACTATTACTTTTGTACATTTCATATTTATAACTTTACGGTTTTCGTTAAAGAAATATTGAGCGCACTGTGTACAGTTCTTGTGGTTGTATTTTTGTATATCTATGGACTGTGACCATATTTGTTTTTGTATACATTAATATTAGAAATACATCTCTTCAAACCGATGTCAGGGTTAAGATCGAAGACTTGCCCTTTGATGGCGAGGGTCTCTTTCACTCCACAACGGATGAGACCCTAAAAACTGTCAATGATAGTAGAAAGAACACTAGGATTTTAGGAGTCTCTACTTCCACGCTGCACTCTCGATACCAACAATGGAAATCCTACTATAATAAATGTCAGCCTTCTCCTGCTGCGGCCATGCAATGGAGGTGACGACCCTATGATTCTTGTCCACCTCCTCAAAAGCCAAGGCCCCAAGCGCCCAAGAAGTCGCAACAACTCAATCAATCAATCTAATTTATTGCAGCAGGAGCCAGTAAAACAGTACAATTCTGATATAAAAGGGATTAAAACAGTAATAACATGGGAATAATATAAAAACATTAACAGGAGAGAGTTAATAACATTAGTAAAGTAAAATAGTGTTAATAAAAGAATCATACAATTTTTTTCAGCTAAAATCAGTTTACGTTTCCTAATAGCTAAGCAACAAAATTTTGTCACAGCGTAGGTCACTGAGCTCTGAATGTCTTCTAAGAGGAATTTACAAAGGACTTCTGGCCTAAAGTCAAGATAAGACTGCAAAGGGAGTCACAACAACTCAAGCAGTCCATTTGACCACCTGGATTGCCTGCCACCGCCGCTTTCTTTCACCCCTCCCATCGGGACCCGATTCTTCCCCTTCCTTCCAACCTGGGAAGACATTACTATCGACACCTGGGTCCTTACCATCATATGGGTCGGGTATGCCATAGAGTTCATTTCGCCCCCAACCCTCCCTCACTTCATCATCATGCCCCTGAATCCATTGCTTCATCTGGAGGTCCTTACACTCCTCAACAAGGGGGCCATCAAGGTCGTTCTGGAGGCACAACGAACTCTCAGCTTCTACTCCAAGTATTTCCTAGTCCCCAAAAGGGACGGCGGTTTGCGGGCTGTCATGGACCTTCGGGATCTCAACGTCTTTGTCCTCTGCAAGAAGTTTCGGATGGTCACCTTGCAATCTATCCTTCCTCTCCTCCCCAAGTCCGGATGGCTAGCGTCGATAGATCTCCAAGATGCCTATTTCCGTGTCACCATCTGACCTCAACATCACAAATTTCCCCGCTTTGCCATCAGGGCTACTCATTACCAATCCTACAGGGTTCTTCCCTTCAGCCTTTGCATGGCCCCCAGGGTCTTCATGAAGATGATGGCTGTAGTTGCAGCAGCACTTTTTTTCACTCAGTGTCCCCCATTCGCCAGATCCCTCGGAGATGCCTTCCTCCACAGATGGACTGGGACCCTATTCTATTTTTTCTCTCCATTCCCTCTCATCTCCAGGGTTCTCCAAAAAATTGTAGAGGATGCCACCACCTGCATCCTCATCACTCCTTGGTGGCCGTGCCAGCTATGGTTCCCTCACCTCCTGCAGTTCAGTGGTTTCTTCACCTCCCTTGTGTGTTGGATCTCCTCTCTCGAGATCTGGGCCAGATCCTCCACCCCGATCTGGGTTTTTTCAAACTCACCACTTGGAAGATCTCCTAGTAGACTTCCCACCGGCGGTTCTGGAAGTGTTGCTTAATGCCGGGAAACCATCCACCCGCAACACTTATCTATCGAAGTGGAAGCATTTTCAAACCTATGCCTTACACCACTCCTTCAATCCAGCCTGAGCCTCCTTGCCAGATATTTCTCTTACATCGTATCCTTGAAGGAATCTGGTCTTGCATACTCTTCTCTGAAGGTGCACCTTGCGGTTATCTCAGCATATCACAGTTCGGTTCAGGGACCTATGGTGTTCTCCCACCACCTCACGAAGGCCTTTCTCAAAGGTCTCCTTCACCTTGGAAGCCACTGGTGCCATCCTGGAGCCTGTCTCTAGTCCTCACCCACCTGATGTCTACGCCGTTTGAGCCTATGGCTTCGATAGACCTTCGACTTCTATCCTAGAAAACAGCATTCCTGATTGCTGTCACGATGGCTCACCAGGTTGGAGAACTTGCTGCATTCTGTGCAGATCCTCCATACACTATTTTTCACAAGGAGAAAGTTGTTCTCAGACCAGACCCATCCTCTCTCCCTAAAGTGGTTTCTGCCTTTCACCTGTCTCAGTCTTTTGTCTTACCCAATTTCTTTCCAAACCCAGCTGATGCTCCACAAAGAGCCTTACACTGCCTCGACGTCCTGAGAGCTCTCTCCTTTTATCTGCACCACATGCAACCCTTTAGAAAGTTTCAAAGGCTTTTCATTGTGTGTGCCTCCCTGTGCAAGGGTGAGGCCATCTTTTCTCAGCGATTATCGAAGTGGGTGACCTCAACAATAGCCCTTTGCTATGAGTTAGCACATCAACCCCTACCTACCTCTGTCACCACTCACTCCACAAGGGCAGTCTTGACTTTGACTGCTTTCCTGGCTGGTGTCCCGTTAGAAGACGTCTGTGCTGCTGCCACGTGATCCTCCACTTTGACCTTCATGACCCACTATGCACTGGACGTTCGAGCTCGATGGGATGCTGCTTTTGGCCAAGCAGTGCTAAAGTCTCTCTTCAACTGATTCTTCTACTTCTACAGGTAGGACCTGTACATTGAAACGATAATGCTATGTCCTAACCTATTTCTTATGTTTTTCAGCTGCCAGTTCCCTCTCCATCTGGTTCAGCTTGTTAATCACCCATGTGTGGGACTGCACAGAGACCACAACAAAGATAAACAGGTTGCTTACCTGTAACTGATGATCTTCGAGTGGTCATCTGTGCAGTACCACAATCCCACCCAGCCTTCCCCACTGCTGGCATCTCCTGATCACTTACCTTTGTTGATGGGACTTACCAGTAGCGGTCAAAGGAACTGAGTGGGAGGCGGCTCTCTCCCCCGCTCCAGGCATGTGCAGTCCGTGCCTGCTCCCCAAGGCGGGAAGAGAGCCCGCCAAAAAGACGCCTAAGGCAAGCTCTGGAATATTCTCCGATCGAGGTCATGCGCAGGTGCCCAACCCATGTGTGGTACTGCACATATGACCACTCGAAGATCATCAGTTACAGGTAAGCAACCTGTTTATCTCTGTTGACAACCACTGTCTATTTATGTAAACTGCAAGAGAAAATTGTGAAATTCTTTATTGCCAGTACAATGGAACCAAAAAGCACTTTGTTACAACTGCCTACGGGTTTTGTATTATGGTGGGACAATTATTTTCTTGCCTTGCTGTGTGATTATCCTTCCCTAATGCCAGTTCAGATATGGTCTGGCTCTGCACAAGCAGGCCATGAATATCTGTCACCCTTTCCTGTTCTGCAGGAAGCCAGTTTTCCAGCATCTGTACTGGAAAAATATGGCTTCTGCTTAGTCTCCAAACCAGAACTGAAAAATAGTTTCAAGCTGTAGTTT